CCCTCGGCGACCTGGGGGAGGGGGGGATGGGGTGGCATTGGGATTGAGGGTGACGCGGCGCCGGACAAGGGAGCGCCGGCGGCTGGCAGCTGCGGGCATGTGAGCGAGGCACCGACTGAGGGGCAGGGCTGCCGGTCTGCCACGCTTGGGCGCTGGCGTCCAACTGGGTGGGTGGGCAAGCATGTAGGGAGTGCACACGCACGCATGGGGACGCATGCACACACACACGCACGCGCCAGTGTGCGCGCACACTTGTGTCACACCCACACTTGTGTCACACCCACATCCATGCACGTGCGCTCTTGCACGCATGCGACAAACAAACGGACACATGCATGCACACCACACACATCAATCAGAGACTCAGCATGCACACCTGGAGGATGTCTGTGATGTCGCAATCCCGCAGCTTCCGCCGGTTGCGCTCAGCCAGCATGCTGCCGATGTACAGTCCCGGAATTACCGGGGCTGGCGTATCGTCAACGGCGCACAGGAAGCCGCCCGCCTGGTCGTCGCCGCGGTTGTTGGCCGCCTGCCGCTGCTGCTCCTGCTGCTCCGTAAGGCTGCCGGTGCCCGCGCCTGCACTGGGCGCCAGGTGCTGCTGCTTGCCGGACCCGGGGGCTGCTGCAGAGTCGCTGCAGGGCGAGGCTGACCGCACAGCGTTACCCTGAGATTTGGATGCGCTTGTGGTGACGCTGCGCGCCGCGCTCCTGGCCCACAGCGCGGCCTCTAGCTCATCCTCGACCTCCTTTCGCTGAACGACATAGAAGCTGCGCTGGCGCGCGGCCCCGGCTGCGCGTCGGGGAGGGCGCTCCGCCGCAGCGCGAGCGGGCCGCGATGCGGGTGGCGCCGCTTCACCGGGCCGCTCCCCTGGTGCGGGAACGCTCGTGCCTTCCAGTGTTCCTTCCCAATTTGCGTAGGAGCAGCTGGATCGTGGGCGGGCGGTGGAGGAGCAATGATGAGGCATGCGCTGCTCCTGCACGACGCCAGTGCTCCTTATGGAAGCTGTCGTAATCCTGGAAACGCTAAAGTGGGATCTACTTTCAAGCCTACCCGACAGGCCGTACTCGCAAGGCAGGTGCAACACCGAAACACGGGCCGTTGGCAAGACGGTTCAATTGGTGCCAAGCTGATCAATTTGTTCGATAAGTCCAAAATAGTCGCAAGGCTTAGCTTCCGAGAGCAGCAGTGACAAAGCCCTGGCTGATCTCACCACCTCAGTACTTTTCTTGTGCCAAGCAACGGTGGTTGCTTATCATAAAGAATCGTATGTAAATCTTGAGTGAAGTCACTCTGCAGCGCGCGCTAGTTCGTGCAGCACGCGACCGCGGCGGCAGCGGTAGTGGCGGGACAGCGGCGGCAGCAGCCAAAAGACTGCAGCGCAACACAAGTCCGGCGGGCATGAAGCCTCAGCGGGCGCCAGGCGGCGGCAACGGCGGTGGCGCGGGGTTCAGCAGAGGTGCACAGAGCGGTCCTAGTGGGCGTGTCGCCAAGCGCCCAGCGAGCGGCGGCCGGGGCGGCGGCCGGGGCGGCGGCCGGGGCGGCGGGCGAGGCGCCAAACCCAAGAAAGAGCCGACCCTCAAGAACCAAATCCGCAGCACCGAGCGGCTGCTTCGCAGGGTACGCGCCCGCGTGCCGCCGCCGTCCCCGCCAACCGCCCGACGTGCGGCCCGCACGACCCTGCCGGTCGCTCGCCCCCTGCGCCCGCACGCCCCCCGCGCGCGCCAGCTGAGCGCCCCTGCCCGGCCCTGCCCCCCCAGCACGGACGCCCCGCCTCGAAACCTGCGACACTAACAGGAGGGACTCCACCCCAAGGCGCGCGCGGCCAAGGAGGAGGAGCTGAAGGATCTGAGGGCACAGCAGGCGCAGCACGAGCGCCAGGAGCGCGAGGCCAAGATCGCGCTGCGCTACAAGCACGTGAGCAGGGGAGGGGGGGAAGAGGGCGGCAGCGGATACGGGAGCTATCCGGCAGCACCAGCGCCGAGCTTCGAGTATCGGGCGCCGGGCGCGGCCCGTCCGCGGAAGCGCGTCGGCGTGGGCTGGGCTGGGCGCGCGGCCCGTGTGGGGAGGCCAAGCAGCGCGTGGCGCCCGCGGCTGTCGCGCGGCGCTGGGGCGCCTGGGGACGCAGTGGGCGCCGGGGCGCCGCGATATTGGGGCGGCGGTGAGGGGAGCTCGCGCCCTCCATTGCCGAGGCCCCCCCTCATGCGGCCGGCATGCACTGCACGCACGCCTGCACCCGCACATGCATGCGCGACTGCGAGGACATGCACATGCTCTCTCTCTCACACACACACACACACACACACATACACACAC